TATATAAAGAAGGCATCATTCAACTTTGTAAAATAAGATTTATTTGATTAATAATACAACAAGAGTTCATTTTTTAAGTGTTGATTGCCTTGTGCCTTCGAAGCTTTTTCTCTTGGAGTTCTTTCAAGTTCTTGTGACGGAGATTAATCTTCACACTCCAATTTGCCTTTTCATCGCGACTAGGAGGGTTGGTTAGAGTCATATTATCATGTTTGCCTTTTCATTGCGATGAGGAGGGCTCGATAGGACACTTATCCATCTATTTTTCACATATTCATCCCACGCCATCAATCATCTTTACCGTTCACCTTCATAAGGGAGATCTATTGATTTCTTGGTTATCTTACTTTATTTGCAATTCCTTTATCTTGTTTTAATCTTGTTTCTTACCTTGTTTCCAGCACCTAAAAGAAACCCTAAGAATCTTACTTGTTGCCACCACCTTCCCCTATTCATTCCCCATTGTTCTTCATCGAGTCTAGAGCTTTCTAGGTTTGATTCTTCAACATGAGCAACGTTCATTAACCCGCCACCACTTCCCTATCATTGCTTAAGACCATAAAGTGACTTTTTAAGTCTACACACTTTGCTTCCAAAGTCAAGTGCTTCGAAACCTGGTGGTTGCTCCATATATATCTCCTCATCTAGATCTTCATTCAGAGATGCAGTCTTTACATCCATCTGATGTATGTGCAACTCATGAATAGACACTATCGTAAATGAGACAAAGATCATTGAAATTTTCATGACAGGATAGTACGTATCGAAAAAGTCTATACCAAATTTCTAAGTAAATCTTTTGACTACTATTCTTGCCTTATATCTCTGGATTGACCCATATGGCCTAAGTTTCTTTCTGAAAACTCGTTTAGAGTTTATCGGTCTAATCCCTATAGGCAAATCTATCAACTCCCACTTGTGATTAGACATTATTGACTCTAGTTCTTCATTTATTACAGTTCTCTCGAAACTGCGTTGATAGAACTTCTAACTTCATCATGCGACTTTGGATCCTCGTCTAAGAGGAAAGTGTGAGTTATAGGAACATAAATAGTGTCTAGATCACTTAATTCGGCAATAAAAGAAGTTAGAAAATCTAAAGCCTAGGTAATGACTACTCTTTGTCTTTTACTTATTTTAGGCTTTAATTCTATCTCTAGAGTATCCTCGACAGGAATAGAAGAAGTTGAGGCACAATTTTCTGTTTGAGTTTCAACTTCTAATTTAGGTTTCTTTTAAGGAAAGTTATCTTCAAAGAACACGGCATCCCTAGATTCACAAATAAAGAGATCATGCAGATACATGAATCTGCATGCAACATTGTTTGAAGCATACCTGATAAACATTGCAACAACAATTTTGGGACCGATGGTGGACTTCTTGAAGTCAGACAATCCAACAAATTACAAACACTTCTCTCTTTTAAAAATCCTCTCAAAAAGGTTTCTTCATCTTTCCGGTGAGAAGAGTAATTCCACCATTATCCACTCTAAATATTCCAGTGTACGAATTTTTTAAAGAGTCGTGCTAACCTGGGAGGACGACCGCCTATAGCAGCTATTACACATATCGAAGTGGAATTTATTTATAAGACAGTGGTTTATACCATGAAACGATTATTTGATTTACCTTTTAATTATTTTATTTATTTCCAATCAATGCTGATGATTTGATTTTACGATTTCTATTTCCAACATGGTAATAATTCACACCAACTTCAAAACTAAACACATAGGTCTAGTAACTTGTAACAATTTTATTTAGTCCATTTCTTCAACATTAAGCTTAATTCCAATTAAATTTTAGTTTATCCAAATTAACACTTAATCCTAAATTAATGATTCCAAATTCAAGAACATCAGAAAAAATATTTATTCGATCATCCAAAATTAAAATATAATAAACTAGTTTAGAGGTGTTATAATTTACAAATATATCCTTACATTTTTGTAAATATGTCTAGTAACTTGTAACAATTTTATTTAGTCCAAATTTTACTCTAATTTTTCTAATGTGATGTCTTCTACTCATGTAAGACTCTCAAATTAGTAGGAGATGACATATTTGCTACATTGTTTATGGGTAATTGGTATTGGTACGTTTCTCTTTAATAATTCTCAGTTTATGTTAGTGTCTATGAGATAAAGTACATGTTATAGGTCCAATGAGATTAGTCGCCTGTGTGTTTTGGTATGTCTGATGTAATGGTTGGTAGTATTTCGACTTCAATATGGTGCACTCATTTTCCTTCGTTAAGTGTAGGAGGCTTTTCAACATGCTCATGCCGTTGTCTTGTGTTTGTATGATTACTTTTATTAATATCATACAAAACTACCTCTTTCAAAAAATATATATATACTACATGAGATTGAAAATCATCCAATTAGGTCTACCTTACATCTTAAATATCTTATCAGTAAAAACCACAATTTGGTTGTTTTATCACCCTTGAACAAAAAAAATAATGTTGAATTTTCCATTTCAATTAAGAGACTTGAATGTCTAATCCTAACATATTAACTTTGTTTTAAGACCCGCTTGAAAGATGAAAAGGAATGATCCAAACTTAACTAAAATTGTTAATTCACTTAAAGTAGTTTTGAGCTAAAAGTAGTTCCAAAATTTATCGTACGTTGGAATCATTTTATTACATAAAATTTTATAACTTTAATATATTAAATTTATTATAATTTTAAAAGATAATATGTTAAATGAACTTTTTATATTAAATTACATTATATGACACTTTATTATTAATATTATTACAATTAAAACTTTTTTAACTTTTGTTTGAGTTTTGATGGCACCGTGGCCTGATTATTACAATCGACTAAAGGAGTGATTCAAATAAAGGTTTTTAAAATACGATGATCTAACTATAAACTTATTAATAATAGAGCGAAAAAAGTAATTTACCCAATAATTAACTTATTTGTAATCTTTATCTTGATATACATAGAAAGAACATAGAATTGATATATTTATATTGGCATAACATTAAAAATAGCTCATAACGTTTATCAAAATGATCATTTTAATCTCTATTCTTTTTTTTGAGTGTTTGACCCCAAAATTTCACTTTGAGATAAAAAGTTTCCTTTATAGATGAAAATCATTAGTTAACACATCGTTAGCGCTCCAAAATATGAGTTTTTTTAACTTAAAATGAAAAATTGAGGGCTAAAATGACTTAGAAAAAAGAATAAGGGTCAAAGTGATTTTTTTGCCAAATATTAGGGGTCTTTTTACCCTAAAATAAAATATTAGAGCCAAAATGCTCCAAAACATATATTACGAGGTAAAATGACATTTTAATAAATGTTGTGTGCTAATTTTTGATATTATACCATTTATATTGAGTATCCGATAAAAAAACAATATTAATTTTTCTTTTAAAAACCCTATAAAATAATATTAACGGTTAAATTGTATGCTTTTTTTTGCCATCTAGCAATTATTCAAGTAGATGGGACATTATTATTGTTTCTGTGAACATAGCTAGGGCATTTTTGTCAAACAAAATGGTCCACAGTCCACACCATTTATGATTAGATGTCATTATTGTAATTCCATTGAGACAGGTCCGAGATTTACAGCATTATTAATGTCCTAAATTAAATGATTATTATAAATGTTGGAAATAGTTAAATTAATTATGGGAATGCAGTTTTTGATAAATGTACAGTTCCCAAAGCATATGATAATACTACTTTCTCATACAAATACCCCCACCTCTTTTTATTTAATTAAAGTAGAATTTTATCAATAACCACGTGAAATGCCAAAACTACCCATAACGGTGTGATGGACTAGCATTGTTTATTGGTATTTTTGTCCTTTTCAAATGGGTGCGCCCATTGAAACCATTTAGCTGAAAAAATGGTGCTATAATATAATGTAGCAAAAACATAAGGGTAAACTACACGTTTTGTATCCCAACTATTACTTTATTCCATTTTGGTCACTCAACTATTTTTTATTTTAAAATCATATCTAATGTTATGTTTTGGTTTCATTTTGGTCACCCACCATTAAAAAATTAATGATGATGCCATATATCACCATAAGATAATGATATGTCATCATTATAAAAAATTAAAAATGTCAAGACAGATATTTAGTTAATTTTTTAACAGTAGATGATCAAAATAATACTAAAACGTAACGTTAAACATAGTTTTGAATAAAATAATTAGATAATCAAAACCAACCAAAAGCGATATTCAGAATACTAAACTTGTAGTTTTCCCAAAACATAATATAGGCAGCAAGCAAGCATATGATATGATGAATTGAAACAAGATTGCTTTATTACAAGACATAACCAGAAGCTGAGCAGCTCATTGTCTGTCGTGAGAGATCATGTGAGAGAGAAAAAAAAGAAGAAACAAAAATCAAAATACTCGAAAACACTCAACTCTCACTCTTTTCTTAAACTCAATCTATTAACACAGGCAAGGCCATGCTTTCTTTCAAACAACACTTACTTTTTGTGTCTATCATGCTTTTGTTTTCTAGCTCTTGGTTTTTGTTGCTTTTACATTGTACTTTGGTTTTGAGGCTCATCTCTGGTCTGCCTCTTCTTTAAAGAAAGGGTTTTTGGTGTTTTCATCTTTGCTTTCTGCTCAAGAGTTTAAAGGGTATTATTATTCATTGCATTTGCTTATACTGTTAGTTTGGTGTTTGGGTTTTCTTTGATTTTGCCCACTTTTTGTTGGCTTGAAATGCAAGTGAAATAAAGTTTGTCTTTTTGTTAATAATCGTTTCCCTGTCACTTTAATCATTTCTCCTGTATGTTTATGGAGATCAAGAGATTCCTTGTTGCCTTGTTTGAGATTAAACCCAGTATTTTAACCTCAAAGATCTAAGCTTTCTTGTTGAGAATGTATTTGCTTGATTATTAAGGTCTTATTTAATCCCTCATTTTTTATTTTTTGTTTATTAATCATATGCGAATCGATCGATATTGATTTCTGTTGGTTTGAATGTGTTGAATCTGTGTTTATATGACTAGCATTTGTTGCAGGAATGTAAATGAAGCAGTGGGACTAGAGATGGATTCGGATTTAGACAAGAACTGCACATTAGATCTGAGTCCCAACACTGTTCTTCCGTCTCCTCGACAATGTTTGAACATCGAAAAGCGACATCCCAAAGGAAAACCGAGTCGTGATGAGGATGTATTGAGGGTGAAGGAGGGGTTTATCGAAATCGGCTTTCGCCGTTACCGCAGTGTTTCTTGTAAAAACATTCAATGTAGATCTGTTGGGGCAGAAGGCGATGCTGAGTTGAAACGAGGTTCGATATATCAAAGCTCTGAAGAGATTAGGATAATGAAGAAAACAGGCATTGTCGAGGGGAGGAGGAAAATTGAATTTTCGCGTAGTAGTGACACCTCAAATTCGTTTAGGATTGTTGATTCTCTTTGTAACTCAGAAGAGAGGACCTCAGTGATGTTGTCTGGCTCGAACTTGAAATCAGCTTCCATTAGCAGACCTTATTTCGAGTCATGCTCATCAGATGGCTTCATTGAAATCTGTCCAAGTTCGGATAATAAATATTACGAAAAGAGAGAAAAACAGTTGGTGGGAACTTCAGGGCATGCTAAGAAGAGGAATGGAAGTTTCGGATGTGAACCGGTTGTCCGTCCTTCAGACGATGGTAATGACCTTGTTGAAAAAGACACAGTTCGGAACCTTCATAAGTCACTATCTGCTAAGATGGAAGCTTGTCATTCACCCTCTTCATCAGAAAGTGACCGGTTTTCCCGAGCCAGCTCGAAAGCCATATTAAGTCCTATTAGAAAGATGTTTGATCCGTTCATGAAATCTAAGTCTCTGCGAAGTCCTTTGGGTTATGCAGCAGAAGCTGACTTTGTCAAAACTATTGGGATGGAAAATACGAGAAGATATAGGACATTTCGGAAATCTTTGTTACATGACTTCTCAAATTCGCCTCGAAATTCCGAACCGGACACCCCTTTTATCAAGGAAGATACCATCCACACCATGGTGGCAAGCTCACCAGTTCACCTACATGGTTGTCTCAAGTTGGGAGTGAAACAAGGGGTGCCGTTTTTCGAGTTCTCAATTAATCAACCGGAAGAAATTGTTCTTCTGGCCAGACAGTGGAAGCAAGATAATGCTTTCAATTGGGTATATACCTTTCATCCCGCCAGCAATAGAAAGAAGAGCAATGCCTGTATGCGGCGGCTGCGTGATAGTAGCCGAGATTCTTCGGTTTTTGCTCAGATGCAAGTCTCCTGCTGTTTCTGCTCGGAAATTAAAGACGGAGGGGTGATCGAAAACTCCATGATTACAGAATTTGTTATGTATGATATTGCACACGCGAGACAGCGTGTTTCCTTCCAAGGATCCCCTGATGTTCGTAAAGCCCCGATCTGTTCTAGTCCAGGCTTAGATGTCGGATGTTGTGAATCTGACGATGGCTCTAATGCAGTGAGGCTCAAAGACCATTTAAATATTGCTTCAGATAACGATGAGGTCAAATCCCTAAATGGATCAACTCCATTGCTACCTGCCAATCTACATACGAACCATGAAATTGCCGCTGTAGTCATTCGAGTACCGTTTAAGAAGAGAGAGAGCTTGAAATACAGAAGAGGGGACAAAATAGGTGATAAGAGACATTTAAACCTACTGAATGTCTCTATGATTGAAGAATGCAAAAGGAACATACAAGATAGCAGGAGCCAAGAGAAGGTGAAGGTGGTTATTCCTACCGGAAACCATGGCTTTCTTAGTACCGAGACCTCAGGTCCTTCATCGCTGCTCGATAGGTGGAGGAATGGCGGAGGCTGCGATTGTGGTGGCTGGGACATGGCTTGTCCCCTTGTCGTTTTTGGCAACCCCGGCATAAATTGCTCCGAAGATCGACCACTGGTGGACAGTGAGCAGCCTTTGAAACTTTTTCTTCAGGTAAGGATTTAGTTTTTTCTTCATAATCATTTGTTTCTTGATGCTATTTCTTATTATTGTTCATCATCTAGGTTTAATTAACATCTCATATAACTATGTTTTAATTAATATGTAGGGCGCCAAAGAGAATACACCGGCACTGACCATGAGTGCCACCGAAGGAGGGTATGCGGTCGATTTTCATGCAAAGTTGTCTGTGTTACAAGCATTTTCTATTTGTGTTGCCATATTGCACGGTACCGAAACCCCAACTGCTGCTGCGGAAGCACAAACTCAACATTTTTCGAATTGTGATTCACTGCAATCACTTGACGATGAAGTGAAATTCTTAATTGAAGCAGTCACAGAGGAGAAGAAGAAGAAGAAAGTTAGCAAGAGAGCAGTAGCAATCCCACCACCCTATGTGATTAACCCCCCCTTCTCTCCGATTGCTCGTGTTTAGACGTCGGTAACCGACTCGTTGAATTGCAAATGGCCTCTCCATGTCTTTCAAAGCGACAGAAAGCGATCGAAGACGGTTATTGTTCGGGCTAAAATGGAGAGTGGCCATACAAATTCTGCCATTCCAAATGAAGGTTACTGTATAGCTGATATCTGTATCCGATGGCACAGATGCTCATCATGCTCGGTAAACCGAAAATACATGTCAGGAAATATCGTGGAAAACGGATTTACAGATTAATAATCCAAGTTGCTGCCACAAAGAAGGTTAGTCCTCAAGCACAAGAATCTCTTCATTGCACTGTTGGTTCATTCTTGCGTTCTATAGATTAGAGAAATAGAATAGGAAAACACCACACTGTTCATAGTGTAACTTTGATATCAAAGCAAAATAGTGATGTAGCTATTGAGAGTTGAGACATTTTGAAGATACAATTATTTTTAACCTTTTACGACTATGGAGCTGAGTGGCAGTAAATCATAGAAAAATTTACCTGCAAATTGTTCCCTTTTACCCATTTACTGCTGTGCTGGGGTTGGAACTTGGAACCAAACTGGTTTAAAAGGATAAAACTTTGTTGATAAAAGAATTATCTTTTAACTGTTTACCACTTCCATAATTCAGTAGTAAATGATTGTTTGTTTGGTTTGTGCTTATTTCTTTGTTTTTTAAGATTATTGCATGGCATGTCTGACAGAAAATTGTTGCATTCACAAGAATGAAAACCAACTCATTCTGCAAAACCATGTCACTGTGCCATGATTATGTAATTATTGGAGTAGAGAAATAACTACTACTATATAGTGGTAGTATGGTCGACTGAATCTGTCATTATTGAAAATAATGATATCAAACAGAATCGATAGTGATATATAACTATCTTAATTTAATATGTAAAGGTTAGTTACAGTAACAACGGATCATTATTTTTATTATTATTTTATTAAGAAAAATCAACTGTCTATTATAATACTATCTGTTACGATTACAATACTCGTAATAATTATGCTATATGGCAACCTAATTCAAGGCCAAAAGAAGATACGAAAAGGACACAATCGAAAATAATATTTTTAATTAGACAACTTAAAATATAATTTTTTTTAAGATTTTCGATTCAATCGAAAATATTATACATAAAGTAATGTTTTAGATTGTCAATCGAAAATATTATAAATAAGGTTTTCAACCAAAAAATACTAAGAAAAAATTAATATTCTATGTTTGTATCCAATCGAAAATGTTATGTTTTTTATAAATTTTCAGTTGTATCTTTCCTCAGCCTTAAATAAGACTTCCACATTTATTAAACATAATTATTATTTTTAATTTGAGGTTCTTTATTGATCATAAAACATTAAATTTATTTAATTATCGTTTAATTCACAAAAAGATAAATTATTATAAAAATCTAATTATAAATAATACAATACAAGATATCTATTTTATTAAAAAAACAAATAAGAAGATTTTTTAGAAATTCCAAACTTATTAGAAGGATACAAAATTTATTGATAGTTTTCTACAATAATTTAGTCGTCGTTAATCTTTTTTCTTCTTCATCTTTGTGATCGATGGCGGTTCTAGTTTTGGTATTAATCGCCGATTGTCGGTATTCATTATTTTTCATTTGCTTTATCACAATGTGTCTTTATTTTTTTCATGTTTTTCTATTTTTAATAATTATGTCTTTATAGTACGTCTTTTTCTGCCTTTATGGTATGTTTTCCTGTGCTTTTATGACATTTTTTATCGTTTGGCCGTTATTTTTGTTTATCATTTATTCATGGTTGAATTTGACATCGCCGCGACTGAACAAGATGACGCTTTATTTGTTATCATGTTGATCTTCCCTACTTTGGACCCTTAGATTGGATTTGGATGTGTGATTTGCATTTGTATATAGTATTTTTCACGTCTCTCAATATTGATTTGCGATTTGTTAGTGGCATATCAATGGTTTCTTCCCCTTGTGGTTCATTTAATGATGTAGTTAGATTTGTTCGTATCTGCCTTTTATCCGAGATTATTTGGCTAGTTTTTTAACCTTTTCATTGTATGATCCTTGTGATCTTAAAGTGACTAGTTTTCTCGTATTTAGAAAAATATTTGTATTATGTATTTAGTTAACGATTATGGTGGTAAAACTTCATTGTAATTTGGATATTTTATTTTTAATAAAATTAGCGGATTGAATAAAAAAACAAAACAACAATTAGAATTACCACCATAAAAATATTTGTATTATGTATTTAGTTTTAAATTATAATTGTCACACCTCAAATTAGTGCCTAAATTTTTTTAAATTTTTTAATGAGGACTAAATTGAAATTTTAATTAATTTTAGGGCCAAAGTGAAATTTTGATTAAATTCATATCCAAATTCAAAAATTATAAAAATTGGAGGACCTATAGTGTAACCATTTTCCTTTTTAGGGAATATATAACCCCAAAACTTGAAAGTTTTCTCATTTGGAAACCCTGTTCTCTTCTTCAAGCTTTCTATTTATTGATAGAAACTTCAATCGTCGTTTCGTCACCAATCGTCCGTTGCTCTGTTTTAGCCACCTCATGCACCATCGTGTTCCTTGTGTCATCCCGAGTCACCGATTTCCATCTTGTCTCTGTTGTCGCTGCGTGTGAGGGGATAAAGAAGATAAATTTTTCGACGTTTCGAAATCAAGCTCTCTGCCGTTCACCGCTGTGAACTGAGCTTGGTAAGTGTCTTAAAACCCCTTAAAATATAAGTAGGATTTTTTTCATAATTTTTCCGACCTGCATACGCCCCTACGCGTCGCTGCTGTGCGTGGGGAACTCCCACCGCCTGGTGGATTGTTTGAATTTGGGTCGACCCGACCCGCCTACCTGACCCGACCCGTGTCCGATCCGACTTGCCTTCCAGACCTGACCCGTGTCTGACCCAATCCGATCCAAATCGAACTGATCAACCGTTGGTCGTTGACTGTTTACCAGGTTTACTTTTTTGAAAACCTCAATCTTGGCATTTTTTGATGTATTGAGTCTGATTTCGTGATGCGTTATGCCAAATTCTGACATGAAAGCCTCGAATCGAGCCTGTTAATCCGAAAATGCTTAGTGTTTTTAGCATTTTTGCTTATTTATTTGCAATTTGATTATGGAATTGATTCGAGAATATATTTTTATGAAGGTACTCGTGTTTCACCCGATCGATGGTCGGTTAGATCTGGTGCTTCCCATCTGTCAGATCCGCACGATCCGCGTTTCTCAAGAATTACTCGTAGATATTTATAAATTGTTTAAATAGGGATTATTATTATTCACATTAGGATTCCAATATAGATTTTTCGATTCATAGGATCTAGCGCTGCAGCTGATCGTGATCGACAGAGTCAGTAGTAAGCTTCCTTATCAGATTACTCAGATAGGTACAAGTGTGTTTCTTGATGGTGTTACACTACTGTTTTAATATGTTCATCTAACTGTTTTAGATTTCTGATAATACTGAATATTTTTATGATGTGATACCTGATTTTTTAAATACTGTTTATCTGATATCTTATTTACTGTATATTTTTTATATGATTTTTGATTCATGTGTTTCTGTATCTGATTTCTGACTTTGGAATATTTTCATGCTTTACTAAATTAAACTATCGTTTTCACTCGAATACTTACATGTTTATTACTGTTATTAGGGGTATTATTGTAGGAAGTATCTCAGGCTGAGTCTATGACTTGTAAGTCCTTACCGTAGGCTCCTCAGCTTTGTGCTTAGGGTATGTAACTCTCATTTCCCGTATACGCTTCCGTACACGAGACACAGAGGTCACATAACATTTAAAGCATTTTCCTCTTTTGAAAACCAATAAATTTTTGTTTTTATCATAAAACATTTTAATTTAATAATAATAAAACGTTCATTAAACATTAGTATAAGTTAAAATTATTCAGAGTGTTATCATAATGCTATTGCATGCCAACTAATAATATCAAAAATAAACATAGCTGTCGTACAGTTACTGATGAGGTGACTCTTGATCAGTGATGTCAATGCAATCCTTACTCTCTTGCTAACACCTACATGTGAAATAAACACATGTTAATTATTTACTTAGTGAGGCAAGAACACTAGTGATGTGAAATCAATACATCATATATATATATATATATATATCATATCTATCAAATACGAAGTTATTTTTTCAAATCGTTATAATTTCTTTGATATGCACACTTACTGCCGATACGGTCATTTATAAACATATTATGAATTTCGTGGTTTTGCACACTTAGTGCCAATACATTCATTTATAAACACATTATGAATTTCGTGGTTTTGCACACTTAGTGTTGATACGGTCATTCATAAACATATTATGAATTTTGTGGTTTTACACACTTAGGGTCGATACGGTCGTTCATAAACATATTATGAATTCCATGGTTTTGCACACTTGTGTCGATACAGTTGTTCATAAACATATTATGAATTTCGTGGTTTTACACACTTAGTGCTGATACGGTTGTTCATAAATATATTATGAATTCTACGGTTTTGCACACTTAGTGCCGATACAGTCGTTCATAAACATATTATGAATTTTATGGTTTTGCACACTTAGTGTCGATAGTACACTTAGTACTAATATAACAATGCAACATATGTATTTAACCAAATGCAACTATAAATCTTAATGTACATAATAAATGCACTCACCTAGTATGCCTCGTTAAAATGCTTTAAGGATGTCCAACTATTCAGCAACCTTATCTTTTCCCTTTTTCTTGCTTGACTCGGGAGCTTGGTTACGATCTACACAAGCATCCAATAAGTACACATACCATGACAATGTTAGTATACTATCTAACATTTATACGTTTAATAATACTTAAAATTACTATTATATTCAATTTCTATCAAAATTCGTCCTATCTTAATTTTCCAAACTCAATAGTATCGGTACCCTACCATGGTATCGATACTTCTATACTATGGTACCGATACTCCCTTTATTATAGATACCATTTCTGCATTCTGGAATCCAATGTATCGATACCTTCCTCTTAGTATCGATACCCATAGCAATACTAATTGCATTAGTATCAATATGTTCATCGTAGTTCTTCAATTTTAAGCCTATAGTATCGGTACTGTTCTTCCAGTACCGATACCCTTGCCCATATTTTCCATTTTTCTGCTCGATTTTTACCCAAATTTAATCAAATTCCCTTACTTTTACTTCCAACAATACTATTAAACTCTTATTTACTTATCCCAACTAACTTTCCTTCATTTAACTTCTTATAACATCAAAAATACAAAGAACATCTCAAACCAAGAATCATGCTACTTTTTCATACATATTTTTAATCACCTCCAGATTTTTAAATCCTTTCATTATGGTCACCGACTCAATATTTGGGGTACTACAATTCTCCCCTTAATTAAATTCGTCATTGATTTTTAAAGAAGTACCTGATACGAAAAGGTGTGGAAATT